CTCGCCGAGTGCCAACTCCTTATCATTTTGTGGGGATGTAAGAGAATATTCGAGAGTTTGGCAACTCTAGTGAATTTATGTATTCAGCAGAATCAATGATGACAACTTGGCCGTGCAATATAGGATCAGCAAATATTTTAAATTCGATTCACATGGATTTAGTTCAAAAAACCCTCGGTAAGGAATAGCTATCAGTATTTGTGATAGGTAACACTACTTATTTTATTTTATTGTTTTTAAAACGAAGGCGGACTAGTAATGGCCTTTCAAACAATAGATAGTTCTGAATTTGAATAAGTCCGACCTCAATAGTACTTGTCGAGTAAATTAAATTTTTTATAGATATCTTGACTCCAGCGACATCTATCAGCCAATTTTAAAAAAGAGCATTTCTCTTTGGTTAGGTGCATGGATAATATACAAAGGCTCTGAATTTAAATCGAAGCGGGCTGTAATTAGAATTTGTAGAGATATGTCGACTACAGTGACAAATAATAGAACAAAATCCTGACATGTTGGAGCAAAACGGACTTCAGATTCGTGTTAAGGGTACCAAAACACATGGGGGTAGGATATTCCTGTCAAAAGGACATGGCACTTTTTCGTGGGGCTGTGCAATTCTTTCTAAAGCAGGGAGCACACGGTATGTACAAATGTATAAATCGTGTGATCCCCGCTTAAAAAATACCCCCTTATTTATGAGGGTAATATTTGTTGGGAATTTCAACCTAATTGGACTTCAAGTACGGTTTTACGATAATTCTCGACTCCGACGCCACCTATCGTGATTATTTTCAAATAAACTGTGTACAATATTTCCTTTCACGTGGCTAATACATGACTTGCATGTGAATGAAATCACACTGTAAATACGGTTTTAAAAGATATCTGGAGTTCAGATCGGTTCAGTTGTTTTCGAGTCTATAGGCGACACATTCTTAATTCGATTTGACAGTTCTCTTTCTCTGTGTATTTTTTTTCTTCACTACAAAGTTAACGCAAAATGTAAGTTATTGCTAAAAGTTTATAAATTTCTTTATTAACTTTACTTTAGGTACTCAGAAAAAGTGTTAGTTTTGATTTGTGAACTGGTTTCGATAAATTTCCAATTAAAATTAGAGACAGCAGCGATTTGTTCGTAATTCGCATAGTAATTCGATCTGAATTACCAACAAATGAGGTAATTCGTTCTCAAAATTTTGTATGGCGAATTACGTAACTCGAAGGGTAATTGGAGTGCGAATTACGAACGAAAGAGTGAAGTACGTAATTGGGGTGGCGTGGGAAAGCCGTATTATTCATTCCAAAAACTACTTTATATATAGTATTCCCAACCAAAACTCATCACACACCAATCTCGAAATATATTATTTACTTGTATGATTGCTTTACTATAGACATAATTTTTTCCGAACACATTCGATAGTTTTCAGCCATTTTACTTAATATATAAAAAATCAACGGGATTTTTCGGAATTTCCAAACTTGCACATTATTATATATTTCTGATTCATTAAACGCATATAAAAACAATTTCGTATATTTTTCTTCCATTTTTCAGATTTGTCAAACATTCCTGATAGTTCATTGGCTGCATTAGTACAAGTTCTTTCGCAATTCAACACATTTCAAGAAGGGCCGCCGGAAGTTGTAGTCAAAGTTAACTCTAGTGATGAAAGATTACCTTCGGCACAAAGTGAGTAATGTGTTTCTGCTATCGTCTAATTACGAATACCACACAAAAGGCAGTTAATAAATCCAGGAGTGTAAAATATGTACATACAAAGGGATCTAAGTTATAAGAAAATATATGTTTATAAAATACGGTAAAGCTTTTATTGTTAAGCCTTAAATTATAAAATATTTCTCAAAGTTTTGATTTTAATCAAAATATAGTTGAATATGAAATACAAATATATTGTGAATGATCGTCTAGACTTTCAAGATATTTTGTCTCAGAAAATGGTGACATTAAATAGCGTACTCTTCGTTATGTGGCCCATGAGTATTTTATTAACAATTGAGAAACTGCAGGAAAGCTTACAACAAAAATGCACAGTGTGTGTCTCAAGGTTGTTAGCCTTCGAAAGCATTAAATTTATTATTTTATTTTTGTTTTGCAAAATCCATATTTTTAACAAAAATCATACGCTTACGTAGAATGCAATTCTTTCCCATGTCAAAGTTGTCATTTCAAAAATGGTGATATTAAATTTTATCTAGGATTTCCTTTATTTATTGTGTCATTTTAAATAATAAGCACCATTCTCTGTAGAAGAATTGAGAGAAAATACTTCATGTTTATGATCGCAGTTTCATGGCATCATTTTTTCGAGACACGTGAACATATTATGTTCATACTTGGCCTATGTTAGTTTGTAGTATACATATACATATATTATCTTTGATATATAAAATATAGACCGTTCTTATTCCCTCCTATTATGAATCCATACGATACACGATAAACGCTTGCATTCTGTTGTGCAGTATTACGAATTAAATTCTAGCGTATGAAATTCGATAGCTACCGTTTATCGTATAGCATTGAATTTGGTATTGTCATACGGCAGCTATCGTATCAGCTGTTAAATTCCATACCCTTGCATGCGGTTGTCCATTTGTATACGATACGATACAATTTAACAAAAATAAAATAATGTAAGTATTAAAATGGATAACAACATGAATTTATGGAAACGATCTGAACAAAATATTGAAATTTTTCGGGCCGAAAATTGCGAGAACAAAACATCGACTTGAGCGTATTACTTCTCCGAGGGGTGCGGTTTAGGTATTTGTACAATGACTTTGGATTGTTGTGCCCAAACGCGTGACCCGAATCTAAATTACACATGTAGCCAAAGGATTTAACTTTTCATTTAAAACAAAGATTTCGAATTTCCGAGCACTAGTTTATTGATAAATTCGGTTTGAAGTATGCACATTTTTTTAAACACAATAGAAACCGTAGGTTTTGCTAATCCAAGTAACGCCTTATTGCCAACACTCTGTTGGTATTATCCCTAAGCAAGAAATCTTAGAGTTATGAAAGCCTTTAATATATTTGTGAGGACGGCTTTTTTTACGTCCGCGCAAGTCGATCTCCACTTCTGTTAGAACATACATACATATGTATGTATATAACAGCTTCTTTTGAAAGTCGAAAGTTTCTCTGAAATCTAAAGAATTTTTTTAATAATTAACAAATAAAACTTATTCCAGTTACTTACATTATCGAGTTCACCTCCAGAGGATTGAAAGCATCTCTCAATTGCCTTCTTACTGTAGCCTCTATGAGAGTTTCATCAATTTGTTCATTTGAGTTTAGATAAAACGCAATTGAGGTTGAAAGAAACATGTTTTGTCTTAATTTTGTATGGCTTATGGGAAGTTTCGGTGCCTTTTAAGTTCAAATTGCTTGCTTTGAAAATGTTTTAGCTAGACAAGAACAGCTGTTTCATTCAAATTCACAACAAATGGTAAACAAATACCACTGTCATTCACAATAGTACATCTATCGGGCGTGTGGAAACCACTCTAAAAGAATTGTGTGATGGAAACTAACACATTCTCATTTATCTTACTAACGCATTTGCAAATTTTGCGTTGGTTAAAAAGAGACCACTAAATAAAGCCATAAGTTGGAGGAAGACGGAAGATCACATGTACACAAATGTTTACATCACGTTTTGCACATTGCTCTTAAAAAGTTGATAGAAGTACTTGACTGAGATCTCCATCACCAGTGAGTATCACATGATCAATCAAATGACTATCACTGTTCTTGTAGGGCATAATACGAAAACTTATTTTATACGATACGCTTGCAAGCGTTTATCGTCTATCGTATGAAAATTCATAATAGGGGGGGATTATCAGTGTTCCTAATAAGAATATATTACGTGGTATTTAAGGAAATGGACAGTTTAACTGTCGTAAGGCTGTTGCACATTTAACGCTCTATATAATTTAAACTCCACAAGTTGCGTTACGTAAGTCAGCTTTCAGACACTTTAAGTCTTGCTTTCAAGTCTGCTCGTTCCAAAGCGAAGGAGGTGAGAAGAGTGGGGAAGAGTACAGATACCTCCGTACCGTCAATTCGTTTCAAGTTTTCTTGTCTTTTTGGATCTTTTCGTTGCTTACCATTTAAAGAACCAAGAACTCGAATTCAATAAAAGTTGACGCGTCTGGAAACAAATAGAAAACACAAAAGAGAATGCGAAAAAACTTTGTTTCAAGACTTGACGGGTCTGAAAAGGGACTAAATGAAAGTGGACATTATCACATTATCCATTCTGTTTTTAAATCGCTTCTTACATATTTCGAATTCGTATGGTTTTTGCTCCTATGCAATTCAAATGGTTTTATCTTTAACTTGTTCTTGTTTCAAACCGGAATTCAGAAGACATATTTTGCTTAAATAAAAGACAACACTGTGATGTTACAACCAGGTCTGGTCAAACACCGCTGGAGTGCAAAGAAAGGATGAGAAAAATTAATAAATGAAAGAAACTCAAAGAATTACTAACAACATAAGCTCAGTTTTATTAATCCGCATCTTCCTCGGGTAACGAAAAGAATTTAACAAATCTGAAAAGGAAAGAATCAAATCCTCCAAGCAAATTGATAAATCTTCGTAATATCATATGTTTGTTGTTATTGAATGTCTTCATATATTTTTATTCTTTTATTTCTTTTTTTATAAGTATGTACCGAAATTTCGAGTGTAACAATAAATAATAAACTTTGGAACTGATATCGGTATGAAGGTTATGTTAATTGATTTAAAATATTAAGTTATTCAGTTATTCTTTTCAAAAAGCAGTTTCGGCTAGAAGTGTTAGTTTTTAAGTGATTATTATTTTTTTTTACGTATGCCTCCAAGTGTATTGATCGAATACACAGATTTATTTCTATCGCATATGTTCTTTAAAACTGAATTAAGTCAAAATTAGTTATATTTGATATTATGTATCAAAAGTGTTCATAGTTCATATATTCATCTTCCAGCTAAACATAAAACAATATTTTGTTGTAATTTGTTGAAAAAGCACGTGCTTAGAAATGGGTAAATTTTAGGTAATATACTTTTGAAGAACGCGTTCGATATATTTAATGTGGTTGATTTGAACTTATTTGTTCGTGGATGTTAAATATTTAATTTACCTACTTATTATTAGTTGCTACGTATGTAGAAACTTCTAAATCTGTCTATAATTTTTTATTCAGCAATGTATAATATTAAACTTATTCAATTTTAATAATGTTATTCCGTATGCTATTTACACATTTTATTCGTACAACAATATTGAGCTGCAGATTTCAAAAAATAAATAAATAAAATTAAAGATTGAAAAAGTAATGAATGTTTGAATTAATGAAAGCTTTACGTCAACCGAAATTGTATATAAAAACTTATACTTCATAAGTTCGGGTGAAACCGAACTTAAATACCCGGCGCGAGTATTAAGGCGATATGCGAGTAAAATAAATCGCTACGGAAATAGGGACAACACCTAAAATGTCAGTATTGCAGTGAATGGGCGCAATTCCTGTTTTCCGCAGTTATACTTTTCAACCTAAACTGAACTCTCAAATCTATTTGAGTGAGAGTTAGCCTCTTTGTTGTGAAGTTACTATCGATTTCAACCAATTGAGTGGAAATTCATAGCATATGTTTATACTGTAGTGAGATTCTCTAAATCGCTATCGTCAATTTTGATCGCAAAAAATCTCTAAATGAATAACAGGCGCACCTAGATAGATCGACGTCTAGAAATAGAGGTATGCACAGCGATCCAGAGATGTATTGTGCCCTCAACCATGCACAGTACCTCATCCCACCCAAGGGAAGATCTCCAGATATTAGCGATTGTATAAGTTCTTCACTTGCCCAGAGTTGGCCTAGGTATCTCTTCCACCTCCTTGCAACCGCCTCGCACTCGCGAAGCAGGTGCAAAAGAGTGTCCGCCGTCAACTCGCAGAAACTACATAGGTCGTTCGACCCGATCCCTAGCTTGTGCAGGTGACCTCTTAGTCTGCAGTGACCTGTTATTATCCTTAACCTCTCTTTGGGGAGGTTTATGATTGCCCTGTACCTTGAAAGGTTGTAGCCTCCCAGTAAACATTTAGCTTGGTATAGATCTTCGGTGTTACGCTAGTTTTGTTCTCTGAGTCTGTTTCTCTCCTTCCTGAGCTCTTCCTTGATTGTGCTAGGTCCGATAGCATGGAAGGTTTCAGGCCCTATAGACAACAAGGCGGCCGCCGTTCTGGGTAACCGGTCCGCTTTCTCGTTAGCAACAACACCTATGTGACCTAGTATCCAAATTAGTTGTCTGACATTGTGCTCCGCCAGGAGGTTAAGCCTATCAATGCACTCAATAAGGAGGGCTTGACCTCAAATAATGAGGTGTTGTTGTTGTAACAGCAGTGCTAAATCCCCGAGGTTTCGTCATGGGTCGTCTTCGTCCTCTGACTCGGCAAGCCTAAGTCCAAGAAAGCGGGCGGCGTCGATAGGCGCGGTCCATAGTGCTTCTGGTGTCAGGGTCGTGGACTAGAGGCGCATGTGTTGGGTCTTGTGGGGAACCTTTCCCGCATGCAGGGCATGTGTCTGTCACTTCTGGGCTCAGCCGAGAGAGATAACTGCTTCGATAGCAACGTGTTGTGCTCTTTCACCGCCAGCATCTGGCTTTCTTGGTCGAGGTGATGCTCGGATGACATGAGATGGCAGCTGGTACCTGCCGGCCACACTAGCGCTGCGTAGTTTGCCAACGACCGGCCGATTGCTTTGTACGTGGTGAGTATGGTTTCTTTGTCGTCTCCCCAGGTGCTGCCGGCTAGTGACTTGAGGACTTTGTTCCTTGCTCGCATCTTTTTGCAGGTGGCTGAGACGTGCGGTGGAAAGGGGAATAGGCTGTCGAACCTAACTCCCAAGATTTTGGGGTGGTTGACCGTCGGTATTGTGTTGCCATCGACGTGGATGTCCAGCTCTAGACCAAATTCCTATGTTTAGGTGGTGAACAGTGTGGCGGTGGATTTCGCGACGGAGATGGTGAGGCTCCTGGCAGTGAAGAAATTTGCAGGATCGGTGAGATAGTCGCTGATTTTCCCGCACAGGCTGTCGATATTGGGGCCCGTCGCCATAATCGTGCAATCATCGGCTCACCAATTTAACTCCTGCTGGCGGCGGAGAGAGTTTCGCCATGTAGAGGTTAAACAGTGTCAGGGAGAGTACGCCGCCTTGGGTGCCCCCTGTTTAATCCTACGCGGCTTGGACTTGGCGTTTCAGAATTCGACCGATGATTGGCGTCCACACAGATAGCTGGTCATCCTCCGTTGCGTTCGATCTGGAAGCGACGAGTCCTGGACGTATTGACAAAAGGTCGCGTGGTTTACCGTGTCAAAGGCCTTCGACAGGTCCACCGTGACTAGGACCCGCGGAAACTTCGCGAGAGTGCACCACGCTTTGAACTAAATGACCTTTTTGAGGGGGTAGAAGGGGTCGTACACGTGACCAAACTGAAAACCTGACGGCGAGGAAACTCATAGTTTACGAGAAATTTGTTGTTAAAGTTGAAAATTTCACCTAACAAGTGTACGATAGCAAACCATTTCAAACAAATACAGGTGTGCAGAAACAACACATTCCAACTAAATTAAGCTTTTTGAACGTTTATTTATTTTTATATTTTATTAACTTCATTATTTAATGATCAGGAACACGTTTATAAATTTGTTTACTTTCCTTTAGAGAACCGAATTGGTATGTACAGTGCCGAACAGAAGTATTGGCACAGTGAATTTTTCGCAATATATGCAAAGTTCTTTATTCGAATTTATTTTCGATCATTTTTTATAAAAATATTGTTCATTTTACACCAGAAAACATAATAATAAAATCTCTAAACTTTGTGCAAAACTCAGGAAAATTCATTAAATTTGCACACTAATTTGCAACTTTTTATTCAGATTTTTTAGAAAAATTCTAAGTATCCAGTTTTATAGCCCATTCAAATTTAGTATAACAAAGTGAAAGTTTGAAGTATGAAAGAACTTGCGTGAAAAAACATTACCAAAAATCAACGCGATTTTCTAGCAACTTTAAACTTACACTAGTTATACTAAATTTGAATGGGCTATAAAACTGCATACTTTGAATTTTTTTAAAAATCTGAATAAAAAGTTGCAAATCAGTGTGCAAATTTAAAGAATTTTCCTGAGTTTTGCACAAAGTTTAGAGATTTTATTATTACGTTTTCTGGTGGAAAATTAACTATATTTTTGTAAAAAATTATCGAAAATAAATTAGAATAAAAAACTTTGCATATATGGCGAAAAAATTCACTGTGCCAATACTTTTGTTCGTCACTGTAAGTGTGTAAGTATGGACAATCACCGAAACGAAGATGGCCGCAGATGTGAGTTACGTGTTGCCAGAATACGTTTCAAGATGTGTTGCCAGATGTTCCAAGCGTAAGAATATTATAAAGGCGAATATAATAAGTTATATTATTTTATAAGTTTAATAGCAATTATGAGTATTATGTGTGCACGTAAGAATATTATAAAGGCGAATAGGAACAAGTAAAGAATACCCACCGTTTCGCTAAAAAAAAAACTAAAAATAGGAGTCGAAAAATAGGAGTTGCGTCCACAGTATTTATGCGTAGAACTCCTTTCTGCGTAGGCGGCCTTCGGCCGCGCTTTAGGAATATAACCCTTACCAAATGAATTCTCCTTTTGGTGTGCACCAACTGGGGCTACCGCCCCAGTGATGTAGCCTTGGGAAAGGATGAGGTAACTAGAATTCCCTTTCTGTGTGATGTCTATTATGGTTACTGGGTGTTTTATAAAAATATCTTGTATATAAAAATGCGTGAAATGCTTCAAAAGAAAGTGCGAAAAGTGGAAGTGTTTTTTTGCAAATAACTAAGTGTCTTATACAAATTCACAAAGTAGAATACTCTTTCTTTAGTGCGAAGAAAAGAAGCAGAAGGATTATAACCCTCGCAAAGTAGAATCCTCTTTCTGTGTTGTGAAGAAAAGGAGCAGAAGTATTTTTGAGCAGAACTTCTCAACAATAAAAGTGACTATACTATAATTATGATGTATAGTTAAATCATACAATCAATAATTATTATCATTTTACTGAAAAATTACATTATCTGTACACATAAGGTGAATTTTTTTGTAAACGAGTGACAAAAAAAACACTCGGTAAAGTAACGAAATACATGCAAAGCAACAACACAAACTCG